GCTTTTTTCCAACAGTCAAGGGTAGCCCCCTTTTGTATATAAATCGCCAGTGCCTGCTGCCCTGCCAGAAGTAGTTTGGGGACATTCCGTAGAATAACTGGAAAAAAATTTTGAGACATGTTTGTGTTTCTCTCCTCATCCCCAAAATCTGAAGCCTCTTCTCCATGACATCTCACCCCAGAATTAATTTCTGTACCAAGAGCAAATCTGGGGAAAAAGGTCTCACTGTGTTATTATTTCTCTTTTAAATTCTTTAAGTAACTCGCTGGAAAAGCTCATGTGCACCAAACTACTTGCATGTTATATCCATAGCATAGAAAGTCCCCAGAGCAGGTTGGCAATATTAAATAAAAGCAATGATACTCCTATACAGAATTTTGTGTTCAAAGTACACGTGCAAAATGAACTGCCAGTGTTGCTGACTCTTGTGAATTTACTTCAAGTTTTGCAAGATTAGGTATTTATCTTCAAGACCCAGCTTCTGGAGGGGATGACTTTGGGACAAAATGTCTGGGGTTTTCCTCTTCTATTACTTTCTTTCAATATTTTTTTCTGCCTTTCCTGACTGTGGAAAAGCCTGCAGTACGATGGGAATGTATCTTACAGGCTTAAAAAACAGGCAAATATGTATTTATTCTGTTCCTTTAAGCCAATCTTAAAGACAATCAGGACCTTGTAGTAACCACTCAGCTCACTTAATATAAGTGACTGATCCTTCCCCAAAGTGTAAGATGGGTAAGAAAGCCGAAGTAGATAATGTTATTTTCATTTCACAGATGATGGAGAATTAATTCACAGTTACTTATGCTGGATCCAAAGCCTACTGATGTCAATTGATTGCTCAAGATTGCACAGCTGAACACACCTCTTCTAAATCCCTGACACTGCATTGAGCACAAGACATCTTTTCTAAATACCAAAACTAGTTAGATGTATCATCATTTTGCAGACTTTACAGAGCTCCCGCTGATCTGAATAGGATTCATATGCATATGCAGCAGTCTCATAGAAACTAATGCTCTGGAAGCAGTGACTGGTATTTAACCACATAGCATTAATCTCATCACTCTGCCTGAGTTTCCATTAGGTAGAGAAAGAAAGGGGTCTTCTCTGTGCCATTATAATACAGTTTGTCCCTTTAGATTTCTTAATCTGAGAATATTACAAATGTGTAAATTGAACACAGATTCCTGAGCAGGTGCTTTCAGTTTACAGTTGCTATTGCTCCTCTGTGTGTATTTTACCTCTATATAGAGAGTTCTTTGCGATCACCACTCGTTTTCCACTGCTACAGGGGTAGAGTCCATGGTTTGGAGAAGGTATGGAAAATGTTCAGGCTCATTAAAATTCAGAATAAAGATTAAAACACAGATTTTCTGTCCCAGCAGATTATCCTTCTTCCGTGCATCATGGAAGGATTCCTGAAATGTGGCTCTTGGCCTAATTCTGTTTCTGTTAATATATTTCTTTTAATGACACTATAGGAAAGTTTAAGATAAGAAACAGATTCAGTCTTTTTTTGGATTGAAACCTTATTCAGTATAGTATTTAGATAACCTTTTTTAATAACTGCGTAAATATCACTCCGTAAATTAAATAATGCAAACACTATCATTAGAACTGGTATTAATAGTCATGATATTTGTTTGACCATTTTGTACATGTTTCCCATTTGGCTAGATTAAAAAAATCTCAAAAAATATTTTGCCCCATTAAGAATGAACAAATGAGACATTTACCTTTAACTGGGCATACCATGGCAAAAAAAAACCCCTTAAACAATCAAGAACACTAGAAATCTGGTAGTATTCCACCCTGCATATTTCAAAGGCATTAAATTAAACACTTGAAGCAAACTTATCCACCGGTTCCAGCTGTTGCCAGTGAGGATAGGGAATTTTTTATTTTTATTTTTTTCTTCTAGCAAAACAGTAAAGTCTCAAAACTCTACTATGTTACTGAAAAATCCTATAGTCTAAATAGATTAGGATTCCCATTTTCATGGCAGGCAAGAGACCAGCTCTTCTGCTGAGGGACACTGAATCACAAAAACTGTGATGAAAATATGTATGAAGCATTTTTTCAGCTGTTGTTTACTGTGTTGTAAACTTCTTTCCTACCCAGTCCTCTCATCCTACTTATACAATTTAACTGTAGTTTATATTTTTTTATTCACATTATTTAAAAAAATAAAAAATAAAAAAACAAACACAACTCTCTTAGCTAAGACCCTTCATTTAAAAATAAAAATTTTTTAAAATTGCCAGGTTCCTGCCCAACCTGATAAGTAGGGCGCAGCTGAGTACGTTTAGATACCAACAAGAACCCACAGCATTGCAGAGTTGCTAAGCTTTACAAATGTATTAAAACTGAATATCTATTCTGAAGTAGGTGTTTATCATGCTCTGAAATAAACACGGTAATCTAAGTGTCAAGAGACAGCCTAAGGACATATCTTCAGTCCACAGAGCAGCCAGGAGGTCTAAAAGAAACCAGTGTTGGATTATTTGTAAAAATCCTGGAGAACAACAGCCAAGGCTTGTGACTAACGAGAAGTTCTGAATATCTCTCAGAGAAAAGAACGAAAGTATTTCTATTACAGAATAAGTCCACAACAGAGTGAAAACAGAGCCCCTGCAGTGGCACCGTGTGAACCAGGCACATCGCCAGCATGCTGGAATAATACACTCACCTTGTCCACAATGCAGATCTGCTTCTTGCTTTGCACATCAAGAATTTCCACTTCAAAGTAAGTGATTTTTGAATGTTTGAGCACTGGTGGTGATTTGAAATGGCCAGCAGAGAGCACAAGCTGAGAGAGGTTGAAAAAAGAGCGTGTGTCATTGTGGGACATGGACAGAGCTCCTCCATGAGCTGCAAGATCCCTCTTGTGTTCTGGAGCGCTGGGTTTCTGCCTCCTGTGCATGGTGTGACCCAGCAGCAGTGATCGTCATACCAACAGGGGACAGTTCCAGGGGGAAAATGTTTCCTCCCTGCATCAGTTAAATACAATCACAGACTGATGAGACACGAAAGGTCAAGTGGCATTCCATTTTAAGAGTACTGTCTTATTTAGCAGGAGTGAAAACAATGGCTCTGTAATCCATGTCTATATTTAACCTGCTATTGTGATGTGCTGGATTGCTGCTGCTTTATTTTTTCTTTTTATTTAAACCAGCATTTGAAACAACACATCTAGAGCTTCCCTATTAGAAGTCAGATCCTGAAATTCCAGAACCCCAAAGGAATGAATGAATGCAGCAAATTCCACTGTTATCTACTGAGACAGATGTTTAAAAATGTCCACATATGCGCATATGTATAGGTATGTGTGCGTGTATATATATATATATGTTATATATGTGTGTGTATGTATGTACCCTTAGTGTATATCTCCAAGATTATGTCAGATGTCATCTATTCTAGAAATATTTACTAACAAAATGCCAGGAGTTCATCAGCAAACTTTAGGGGTTGCTTGCAAATATAGAGAGGATTTCGTACCTGCTTGTATTCAGTACTATGGACCCTCTGTTATTTAATGGGGTAGAGCTTTCCTTGCAGGTCTGCCAGGGAAACTCAACTGAAGTAAAGGAAATTATAACCATAAAGGCACTAATTCAGCGCTTGGATCATTTTACTATTTTCTTATTCTTTCCTGGCAAGCCATTTTCACAATACAAGTCTGCAGGAGAACAAAAGTAGCCTTAATGGTAAAAATAAGGATTACTTAAAACAACAGGTTTTTTCTCTAAAAGGGCTTCCCCAAACCTTGTTTAAACTTCGTTTTTCCTTGTATGACTTTTTTATAGAATTTAATAGAACTAGCAGCACTTTTCCATCCTGAGATTCTCCCCAAATTTCCCTGGGCTACCTACGATTTGTGTTAGAAAGGCACCACAGATTTCTGCAGACAGCTCTTTCCAGTGGAGACACAGAGTAAGTTCTGAATACATTTCTATATGGTAAAACCTCAGGGAAACCATGATCACTATTACAAAAATCATATAGGTTTGTGACACTAAGGAAATTTAATTAAGTGAAAAAAACCTTCCACACAATACAAGTGACCACACAACTAATAGTCCCTCTGGGAGGGAGGCAGGGTGGGAAGACAACAGGTCTCTTTTCTTTGATTCTGCTATAACTTATAGAAAATTTAGTGGTTACCACATCTTGTCTAGCGACACATGACAAGAAGCTCTATGAAATAACGGAGAAACTAATTAATAAGTTGTTGCAAGAATTAAAAATCGGAGTGAGGGGGACCCCCAAACGAAGGCAGTTTCCAGAATAAGTCTCCTCTCCTGACAACATTCACAGATATGCTCATCTTCACGTGTACGAGTTATCTAGTTGCTGTTGATGGAATAATCCATGCTACATCAAGCTGTATATGTGCTTAAGTTCTGGAGAATCAAGGCTGCATACATGAAATGTGTCCTGCTTATAGACATATGGAAAAGACACAGAAGAACGAAACAGTGAATCAGTAGGGGCTGAACTCATGACCTGGTCTGAGCTCAGTGGTAACAGGACTGGGCATTTGCAATGACAAAATTTTTGCAATACCAAGAGCTAGTCTAATTTATTTATGATTCTTTAGCCAGTTGTTCTGACTAGAGAGGCTAACCCCAACTCATAACTAAGATGCTTTATGTCCACATGACACGACAAACTTCTGTGTAGCTAAGGTCTGAGAGAAAAGTCCCTGCTGATGCAGTCATGCAGCCTTTGAATGCCTTCACTGTCGTTGTTAGTGCAAAGCCCTGACTGTGGAAATGCAGATGTATAACAATATTGGTCACTAATACAAATAAGGATTAAATTTTGGCTGTACTGAAATCAGGTAGTGTCTTGCCATTGATGCAAAACAAGTCAGCATCTAAAGAAAAAAAATGTTGTCAGACTTGAACAACATTATATTGTGGTCAAAGAAGTACACCTGTCTTCGAGTTCAGCTGAGAGGTGTGCAAGGAACCACATATTTTGGTATAAACTAGTCAGAACGTGGAGAGTGACAAATTATTGGCTGACTGTAAGGGGCTTACTAAAAACAGCCAGGTAAAGACCACAGAACACAAAGGCCCTGAATTCCAAGCGTAAGATACACTTATTTGAACAGGCTGCTGTAAGGAAACTGTATAAACTGATGTACAAGAGATGAGACAAACTGATGTAATATCCCCTTTTAGCTGTAAAATCTATGAATCAGTGAGCTGTAATAGCATATATTAATAAACTTCTAAATTTATTTCAATTCAAAAGCAATAAAGAATAATATTGATAATCATGGCTAATTTCTGTGTATATAAGGAACTCGTGCTGCAGTCATTACTGTGGGTATATTTATAACATTATTTAAAATTATAACATTTGAGCTGCTGCTTCTGAAAAAAAAAAAAGCTTTTGATTTACTGCAGACATTTAAATGATCTGAATTTTATTACTGACCAATGAACACTTGAATATCTGAACCAATTCCAGGAAAATGCTTACAAAAATATATATTTTTTTTTTCAATCTAAGCTGATCATATGCAATTTCAATATCTTGATAAACAACAATACTTACAGAGCCAAATACTTTGCTGACATAAACTAGTAGGGCTTCCCTGAAGGTGACTGGCCCTTTCCTCAGTGTATTAAATTATGGGTCTAGGATTAGACTGCAGCACCATGTCTAGAACAAACATATTACTTGCATATAAGGTGGGTGAGAGCTGCTCTACCAAAAATAATCAAGGATAGAGTTACCACTGATAACCTAAGCTCTAAAAGGGAGATGCATAAAAGCAGTGGAGATTTTGCCATTAATGTGACAAGTCCTGCACTTGCTTGAAATGTCATCGATGGGTTTGGATGTTCTGGCTCAATGCGAAGTAATTCAGCCCATTCTATGTAGAAGTGCGCATAGAAGGGAAACATTAATTACTGGACAAAAGGCACATCTTCCCTTTCAATGCAGTTATATGTACCTCATCTCAGTGCCCAGCACTGGAGATGGGGAGTCCCAGCACATATCAGTCCTATGGTGAGATTTATTGATCCAAATTAAATGGGGACAAGCTGCTGCCACAGCAGCTTCCCGGAGCTGTGGCAGGGCTAGTAGCCAGCAGTCACTCAGTCCCTGACCTCAGCTTCTTTCTGGGACTCTGAGAGGAGTCAAAGAGCACTCAGCAAGAATTAAATCATCTCTGACAGCTTCAACTCGCACTGAATTTCCTGCCATATAAGGGGCCGATATTTTCGAGGGGCCACGAGGATGGGCGTAACTCTTCTCAAAATGTGGCTCTACCTCTTCTCCTCACTCGGCACTCGGCTGACATGAGCCGTTTTGCAGACAGGCAGGCATTTTGTTAAACCATCCTTCTGAAAGGCACTTTTTCCAGGAGGGAGGGGATGCCATCCCCCAAAGCATGCAGCAGGGCATCATTTCTGGTTAACTGAACTGCTGATATTTTCACTACAAAAGCGACACCTGTAGTGGACTTTTTGCACCCTTCTAATACAATATCTTGAAACTAGCATCAACCTGTGCAGGTCATGACAAAACAAGTAACAAAGCGCTGGGCAGGGACTAAGACAGCATTCAGTTTCTGCTTATGACACTGATTTCCTGTGAGGTGCTAGGGAACTGCTGGTTTTCCTGCTTTTCCCTTCCCATTCCACATGCCTTCTCTGCGTGAGGCTCTCTTGCACTGTGCGTTTTGCAGACAGCCTGGCACAAAGGGATTTCACAAGATCTCAGCTGGGGCCTTAAGGCGCTTCTGAAGTTGCTCTTCATCTTTGGTCATGTTTTGTACTCCTCCTTCCCCAGAGAACTGGTCATCTCCTTTCAGTCTGCAGAATGTCGACTGTTAAGTTGGCAGCAGAGGCTCATCTCTGTCAGTCCAGATGCTTGTCAGCAGCCCCTCACACATCGCTTTTTTATCACGTGCATTTTGAGTGCTTGGTGGAAGCAGGGTTATTCCTTTCCCGCTGGCTTTGTGATGCCAAAGAACTGAACAACGCCCCCAAGACACGACTTCAGAGCCCAAAGTATGTGGGGTTCGGTACTGCAGTTCATGCAGCCTACAGCAAAGTGGATTCCCAAGGTCAGACATACTCACTTCAGTGCCCCATTTTTTGAGATTCTGCCATGCATTTTGCTGAGGAAGGAGACGCTAGCAACAAGCGCTCAACTATGTTGAGAACAAGCAGCGAGATCCCCTTGCTAAAGGAGGCCTGAGCCAACGCGTTCACGTGCTCCCTACCGTGGCCCATGGCCACACCACCCTTGTTTCGTAGCTCCGCAGCCCAGACGCCGGGTACTGCGCTTGATCTCATCAGCGCTGCTCCACATCTCCCCATTTCAATCTTGGATTTAATGTTTTCAGAGGCAAGCAGGAGTGTAGCTATGCTTTCAGTCTCTTTTTACTGCGGTGTCCAAGGAAGGATTTAAGAACCCAATACAATGTAGTCATTTGGAAAAACACTAACAATAATTTGTTTGTCTGGCTCCTGGCTTCGTCTGGCTGAGAGCTTACGAATAGGTTTACCAGACTATTTTTGGTGCTAATGCTTTTAAATATTTGGTTTGATTCTGTTTTCCATATCATACCAGTAACAACTAGAATGCATTTCTGAAGCAGAGTAGAAATGTAATCACGTGACCCCAGCTGTCAGAATTGATGCACATAGATCTAAGATTGCAGTGTATATTATGAGAAACTTGATATCGTTATTCCCAAATACTGTTTATAAAGGCTGCATGGTAAAAACAAAACAGAAAAAAAAAACCAAAACCCTGCATGAACCTCTGGGATTTCTTTGCCTGCACATGCCTACCTCAGCAGCCTCAAAATCAATTTAGAGCATTCTATCTACATGTGCATACACACAAAAAAGCCACTTAGAAGAAGCTCCGCAGTGTTACTACTAAAACTACTTGGTATTTTAATTTTCT